GCCACTGGACAGAACGCCTCTTGCACCAGCGAATGCCCCTTGAGCAGCAACAAGTCCGTGGAGTTCCAGGACTTTCACTTCGTCAATGTTATTGGCATGAACGGGTTTCGGATCGACATTTCCGCCTGGTACGGCAGCGGTGGAGGACTCAACGGTATTGAGCTGTATGAGAACGACATCTTTGCCTATGCCATGCAGGATTTCAATGAGCCAGCTTGTGCCAACCTGCCTTTTGCTTCCACTGCAACCACCACTGGAACATGGAAGGCATCTCCTTCTTACTCGAGCAACTCACAGTATCTCACAGCTCAATTGGCAGCCCCCATCACTAACACCTCGGCATCGGTTGTCTTCAGCCCCGATATCAGGGAAGCCGGCCACTATTCCGTCAATCTTTACACACCGGGATGCTTTCAGGACAATACATGCTCTTCCCGTGGCCAAGTTTTCCTCTCCGGAAGGATGACTGCGGAAGGAGACAATGGAACCTTCAATGCTACCTTGTACCAGACGAACAACTACGACAAGTATGATCAGTTGTACATCGGTTCGGTTGACGCTAGCTCCAGCAGTTTCCGCCCCCAAATCACAATGACTCCTCTTCCTGGGCAGTCTCTGCAGAACATGGTCATGGTTGCGCAGAAAGTGGGATTCCAGTTGATCAACTCCACCGGAGGCCTCAGGGGGCTCTATGAGTACGACCCTAAGCAAGTCGTTGTTAACACCAGCGACTTTAGTAGTTCGGTATTCAACAAGTTCGGCGCTTCCTTCACGGCCGGCTCGGCTGTCAAAGCTCTGGCCACTTCCGGTGAAACCACTTTCATTGGAGGCAACTTCAGCTCTAGTACGGCCAAGAACATTGCGTCCATCAACGACAAGGATTCGTCCGTCAAGGAACTGGATGGCGGGCTGGATGGCGAGGTTCTGGCCATGTACCTGAACGGTACCAGCCTTTACGTGGGCGGAAGGTTTACCGCCACGCAGAACAATGCCACGACGGACCTTAACAACTTCGCCGTGTACGACACCTCCAAAGGAACGTGGACGCCTTTGGGGTCAGGAGTTGATGGCAGGGTTCTTAAGATGGTCCCCGTCACGATGAATGTTACCAGCACGACTCCCGAGGTTGTTATTACCATCACAGGCGACTTCAAGCAACTCAACGCTTTTGGTAACAACCGGGCTGTGTCGACCAATGGCTTTGGCGTTTGGGTGCCATCGCAGGGCAACTGGCTTCGAAACCTGAATCTCCCGGTTGGAGGCATGGATGGTGTTCTCTCCTCGTCTGTCATAGGTGTTCCGGGCGGCTATGACCTCTATGGAGGAGCTGTTGTCTCTTCGGCTCTGGGTGCCAGCGGCGCTGCGACTTACTCATCCTCTCTCGGCCCGTTTCCCATCAAGATACAGCCATCAACTTCCACAACCAGCAGCAAGACAAAACGGTCGTCTCTATTCAGCAGCACCCTGTCCGGGGTAGTAACGGGTGCCTTTGACCTGAACAACAACAGGAACATCACCATTCTTGGTGGGCACTTTACTGCGCAAGCCACCAACGGATCTACCATCCACAACCTCCTTTTTATTGACGGAAAGAACAACGATACTGTCGCCGGTCTCGGATCAGAAATCTCAGAACAGTCGACCTTTGTTGCACTGGGTCTCCAAGGGGATAATCTCTTTGCCGGAGGTGAGGTGTCAGGCACGGTCAATGGAGCCCAAGTTCAGGGCCTGATCTCGTATAACCTTGCGACAAACAAGTACAACGGCCAGCCCCCACCGCTTACGGGAGGTGACAGCACCGTTTCAGCCATTGCTGTGCGACCGGACAGTCAGGATGTCTATGTTGGAGGATCGTTCTTGTCGGCTGGATCTCTGGATTGTCCAGCTGTGTGCTTCTTCAGCACAGCGTCCGGACAATGGAACCCACCAGGACAGAACCTGGACGGCACCGTCAACACCCTCCTGTGGGCAACTGCATCCAAGCTGATTGCTGGAGGAAACATGACAGTCAACAACACGGCGTCAACATCACTTGCCTTTTATGATCCTAGCAAGAGCACCTGGGACAGCTATGCTGGCTCGGAGAAGCTGCCTGGTCCTGTCGACGTTGTTAGTGCTGCTTCCAGTGATGGTAACCAACTATGGGTTGCCGGCACTGCCACTAACGGCTCGGTTTATCTTATGAGGCATGACGGCAACGACTGGACCTCGGCCGGTCAGACACTGGAGCCTGGTACCAATATCCGCGGCCTTCAGATGTTCTCCCTCACGAAGGATCATGACTCGACACCATTAGTGGCTCCTAACCAGGCCCTGATGTTGACTGGCTCCATTGTCCTGGCTGGCTTTGGTAGCGCATCGGCCGTCCTCTTCAACGGCACTTCCTTTGAGCCGTTTGCCCTCACCACCAATACCGGAAACACCGCGGGTGCACTATCCCACATGTTCACCGAGAGACAGAACTTCTTCACCGACGACCATCACCACATGAAGTTGGTGTTCGTTGTGCTTATTGGCCTGGCCATTGCACTGGCCCTGATCCTCCTGCTCATCCTGGCCGGTCTACTACTGGACAGGATACGCAAGAAGCGTGAGGGCTACATGCCTGCGCCTACTTCGATGTATGACCGTGGCAGCGGCATGCAGAGGATACCACCGGAGGAGTTGCTGGGGCAGTTGGGCAAGAATCCGCGGCAGACACCGCAAATCTGATTGTTGACCTTGGTTTTTGAAGATGTATTGTTTTGTTTGGCAGCTTGGCGTTTCACAGGGATACCATATCGTTTGCGCAGCTCGGCGTTTGGAAAAAGAGTAAAGGACATGGAACGTGTCCCAGGAGGCGGTTTCTGAAACAGTGGAAGATATCATAATAGCTATGACCGACGGTTGTGGAAGAGGAGGACAGCATAGCACGGATCAACACCCACCAAGCATGCACGCTTAGAGAGCGACCTGCCTTGCATCGGAAATCACCTTTTTATTTCTTGTCCTGTCATTTCTTCGCCTATCTGGCTGACAACTTTGGTTTCATGAGTTCACGACATGCCTAGCTGTCATGGTAATGTTTTTGATCTGGTTCGTGTTTGTATCATAACCTTCGATACCCTCCTTGTGTCTCTGCAGAAGAGAAAATCCGCATCAGCTGGAAGAGGTTCAACTACGGTTCAGAAAGGGGAAGCGGACAGTTTAGATAGGTAGCTTGAAATGCTCGTTGAAGTACAGATGCATTTGTGCTGCTGGTGACATGTTTAGTGGAGGTACCGTTCACTGAGCCGACATGGAATAAGGCAAATTCGCATATTTGGGTCCTATTATGCAAGTTCATCCTGTCATTTCCCGCTTTCCCGTACTATTATCGGTGGTACAGTAACTGGTTGAGGTTTGAAGCTTGGAAATCGGCTGATGCTCTTAGTGGTGCGATGGTTCGATGAAATCGGCTGTTCCCGCACTTGTCCTCGAACCACACCAAAACTCTATGTTTACCAGCTCACGGGGAAATCGGATTGCAAACGTCTAGGCGCCGGTAGGATAATGACAAAGCTGTTTAAAACCCCATAGCTTCCCAACATGATTCGCATATTTACTCCCCAGAATCCTGGGGTACATTGTCTCATCCTGTCCGCTCCCGATTGAAGTAGCACCGTTTTGAACCACAGACTCGAACCCCCTGAAACCGTTCCCTATCCACGCCAGAAGAACGACCCAGCAACGACAGGTTCAGACCAAAGTACAGCCAGCAGCCATGTCCTCAAGACCGATGCAACACATCGATCGGAAAGAGCTCTACACGAACCTCGAAGCCCGAGTCCGCTACCTCCATTCCTTCCTCGACTTCAGCAGCAGTGCGTCGCTCCCCTAACCCCTCTGCTTTTGCCACGTCCACCACTAACTTCCTGCCAGAGGATATCGAAGCTTTGATCTCTGCGTCAAAGTACATCAAAGCCCTGATCCCAGCAGTAGTCAACATCGTCTACAAGAAACTCCTACAATACGACATCACCGCCCGTGCCTTCCAGACGAGGAGTACCAGCTATGAAGGCCCAATGGACGAGTTAAAAGAACTGGATGAGGAAAGTCCGCAGATCAAGCATCGAAAGATGTTCCTCAGAGCATATTTGGGGAAGCTATGTAGTGATCCGCGAGACATGTCCTTCTGGGAGTATCTGGACAAAGTCGGGTAGGGCACTTCCTTCTCCCCGTCACACGCTCCCTGACAAGCTTTGCTAACATACAAGTGAAAAGCATGATGCATGTAGGCCTAGGCCGCACCCATCCCCTGCACATAGAATACGTCCACATCGGCGCCTGCCTCTCGGTGATCCAGGACATCATGACGGAAGCCATCCTGTCGCACCCGCGGCTGCCCATGCCCAAGAAGATCGCCATCGTCAAAGCCTTGGGCAAGGTCATCTGGATCCAGAACGACCTCTTCGCCAAGTGGTACGTCACGGACGGTGAGGAGTACACGGACGGCATGGACTATGGCGAGATCGAGAAGGAGGGCTGGTTGCATGGTCGCAAGGTGCTGAACGAGGAGGAACCGGGACGGGATGACGTGGAGAGGGAAATGAGGAGTCCGAAGGAGGAGAGGGAGACGACGCCCACGCCCGGGGATGGGCCGCATCGGTTCGAGGGCGTGCCGGCGGGGGTGTGTCCGTTTACGGGGAGGAATTTCGATGGGAGGAAGGAGGTGGAGGTGGAGGAGTCATGAGAGTAGACATGGCTTGTATGAAATTAGGGTTCATGGGTATAATGCATTACGGCGTTCGGGAGGGTCAGATCCGGCTGCTGGTTTCACACAGGGTCGATGTATATAGTTCACAAGGAGCCGCGTAAGATGACAAGGCACATATCTGCATTGGACCTGTGTTTTCTGAGGTTGATGGTGGCGCGAATAGTGCTGAACATGATTGTTCAGCTTGATCTCATTCTTCAACTTGTTGTTCCAAAAATACTCAATAGTAATATAATATCTCAATTTGCCTGGTGATACTAAGGTTGCCCGTTTAGCTCAGTGGTAGAGCGTGTCACTCGTATTAGTCTTCTGCTGATCACATGACAAGGTCGCTAGTTCAATCCTGGCAGGGGGCAGGTCTTTTTGCTCCTTTTTTACCTTGCGCTCCATCCATCTTCGATGGCATCGTAGCAGGACCTACGCCTTTTCCACCCCAAGCTCGTGCTGTACTCCCTCGAGCATGTAGCTGAAGTTACTCGGATACGCCTTGTACGAACCGATGTCTTGCGCGGTGAGGACGAGGTCGAAGGGAACGCCATGGAGTGGGCCGGCGTTGCTGGCCGTGAATGATTCGTGGTCGACGTTGGACGGGACGACGAGTAGTTAATCGACGACTTGATTGAATGAGGCGGTCATTCAGCCTATACAGCCCCCGTGATGATTGCAAGACTCTGTTCATGGCTCTAATTCGCAGCATACACTTCCTGAGGACCAGTCCATCCGCTACGTCTCAGCCAATCCTCGAAAGAGCTACCAGTGAGACCGAGCTCCTCGCTGGACTGTTCAACCTCTATCTCAAAGGCCCCATAGCATGTCTTGTCGACTGGAGCTATAGCAGCCCATTGCATCATTTCAATGGCGTCTTCCTTGAATGCCGGGCCGACGAGCGAAGAGCTCAAGTCACCAAACTCCTCAAACGAGATTGGAGAATGAACGGCCGGTTTACCCGTGACGTGCGTGAAGGTTTTGGCCATGGCTTCAGGAGTTATCCTAGGACCCAGAGCAAGATAAGTTCGCCCTTTAGTCCTTTCGACACCCAAGCCGAATATCTCTTCAAAGTTGATTTGTTAGCTCTTGACTTGCCAGGAAGAAAGAAACCTGTGGAACTGTGGTGGGCGAGCATCTTACTTGCGGAAAAGGCTCCCAGGTCGTGTGCAGGATCCGTCCATTGGACCGGTTGACTCCCGGGTAGGGGCATACAGAATTGTACCACACCGTCCTCTGAGGAACAAGGCCGTTAGTCGGGTGTCAACATGCCATTTTTGAGACCGTCAGAGCAAGAGGAGGGATACAAACCACGAAGCCGGCAATACTTTGGCCAGGCCAAGTTGGCATAAAAGAAACCTGTTACATGACGACCATGTTAGTATACCCTAAGCGGTTTATTTTTCGAAGTTTAAGAGATAACCCTCTACAGAGTACTCACCAGGCATCAAGGAGGTAAAGCCATTCAGCTTCTTCCTTGCCAATTGCTCAACAGCATACTTGTTGTTCATGTGATGGATCCGTTTGAACCGGCCGCCACTCGCCTTGACAATATCAGGTAAGCTACTAAACACCAAATGCTTGACGCCGCACTCCTTGGCAGCGGAGATGATGTTACGCCCGGCCTCAATCTCATGTTTTAAGTCCTCCTCTTCAGTAATGATTTTACCAGGGTGCCGTTCACTGGTCATGGCGTAGACGCCGTGTGCACCAGTGAAGGCGCTCCGTAGGCTTATTTCGTCGTAAACACTGCCGCTCACCAAGCTCAGCCAATGGTTGGTTGTTTGGCATTCTGACAAAAGCTTCTGTGCTTTGCCTGAGCAGGGATCTGAAGTAAGAGCTCGGACGAACCAAGGGCCTCCATACTCGGCATCCAATAATGCTCGAACGACGCCAGAGCCTTGGATTCCCGTGGCGCCAACGACGACTATTGTTTGTTGCGACTGAGTGGATGACATGTTGTCTGAGGCCTCTTGCGGCAAGGTCGGGGGACAGACTACAGGACGAAAAGGGTGTTTGTTTGGAATCTGCCCAACCTTGATTACGGTACTCTGGTGGCAGAAGTTGGTGTGGTCTGGCACTACATTAGTAATCAGGTTCATCGCTTGGGATGAGGCCGTCGAGGAATGAGAAGGATCAGCGATGAGTATTATTAATACAACCATCCTGACCACCTGCAATCAATCAATGAACCACCAAGTTACTGCTTGATACCCCTGACCACCTCGCTCCGCACCATCCCCTCCTGCCAAGAGAACCACAGGCAGACCTACCGTCTCTTCCCGACACAACTAACCTTCACCGCGCCGGAACACACGCTCGCGCTCTGACTAAACACCAAGCTCTCTACCTCATAATCTCACGGGTGTCCTCTATCGCTCCGCATCCCAGGACGCCGACATTACTGAGCTCCCATGCCGCCGCCCACCTCTTCCCCATCTTGCTCAAAAACCACAGCAAACGGATCCGGTACATGTCGTAGACATCCTACGCCCATGTCCTTCCCCATCCCCAGCAGGGACCCTATCAATGGTGCGTTTCGTTCCCCGCGCGTTATCCCAGATCCAATCCGATGAGTAACAAGACGATCGGTCGTACGTCTCGCAAAACGAGCCTACCCAGAGCAACTCATGTCTCGCTCGGTGACCTCGGGCGCCAGGAAGCGTCGCATGAAGACAGCGCAGTCACTCCGCAGCGAGGAGTACTCCCCTGGGATGTTGTCAAAGAAGGCCACAGCAAGACCGGAAGGTCTATGAGAGACTCGAGGGTTGGTGGGAGGGATTTTGCTACAGGGCGGGCAGACGACGCCTTCCTTCGTACAGAGGTTTTGATCGGCGCCAGGGTGTCGTGCTGGATCAGACAGTGCGTTCTCGAGATCCTCCAGAATGACGAGAGCGCTCTTTGTGTCTGCTAGAGAGCGGTGGAAGCAGAAGACCAGCGTAAGCTGGCGCCGTGATCGACCGCGAGGATCCTCCATCGGAATCGTGCTGGCATGGACGATTGTGCTGTTCCTCGAGTATCCCGTTCAGGTTGAAGGCGGCTTCCCCCACGAGGTTGATGAACCTCATGGCCTTGTCGAGATTGACGCCCGCCAGACGAACAAAATGACCTACATGACTGCCCGTGTCCGCTACAGACACGGCGAAGAGCACGGGGTGTTTCAGGGCTCCGTGGTTCGACGGAGCATAGTCGCTGTGAGGCACACATTGAGGTGAATGCCCAGGGTACACCGTGTCGAGGAGTATTGTTCTAGGATACCTTGCCGTGCCAGGTCAGTGGGTTTCTGTTTGTAGCAACCAATCGGTGAGACGGGGACTGACCTAGCGGTCGGAGCGTAGGGCAGGCAACAGTAGCGTCCTGACCCATGGGTGGTGTAGAATAGTGTGCTCAAAGGGAATCGTCTGCAGATGCCTGTGGATGGCGAATGATTTGTGTAAAGTATCTGTAGGTAGATGTAGTGGCACCATTGCCAAATGCCATATGGCAGGGGCTCGCTTTGGTGGATGACTTATACTATACGGCGAGGGGATTTGACCAGACTGGTTTACGAGCCACAGCCGGCACTGCACCCGGTGCCGGTAAATAACCAACCCCGGTCGTTGTGCTTTGGGGACCTGACGGCGGTCTTCAAGTCTATGGTACAATAGTCCAGCAATTGCACCTACCTACCAACAGCATCAAGAGTTGGAAGCGATTGACGCTGAGGGTGTGAGCGTAAGTACATTACACCTGCTTAACTAATGGTGTTGACATGCTTCGGCAGCCCTACCATGTGCGTCATGCGCGGCACAACCCAATGCGAGCCAGATGAACTTTCAAGGCCTTCAACTTCATTTTGGTCCACGCTTTTTGTCAAAGTTGACGTAGTGAAATTGATGTTTAGAAAACGGAGTGAAGGGAGAGACGCTGGGTACTATAGGTAACTAGAAGATACATAACAGGCGATAAGGGAAGTAGCTTATTTCGATACTAGCGACCGTTGCGCGAGGTTGAAGGCAATATGATGCTTGAGGGCAGCAGGTAGATCAATCTCTGCCTTTGACAATGATTGATGACGCAAAAGTCGAGAGGCTGGTTGTGTGAAGTGATGAACCCGAGCATACGGTAGCCCAGGGACTCTCAAGGGAGTACGCCTAAGTTTATGCAAACACAATTAACTTGAAGCCTGCGCGATAGTCAATCTTCATTCAATTGGACAGCACTAAGAGGACCGTACTGGCGGACCACGACTACGGCGCTGGTATCCCACAGAACCAGTCCCGATCAAAAGAGCCGGTAACCACGAAAAACCATCCCTAGGATCAAGTAACTCCGGACGATGTGACATAAGGCTGAAACGCAATTGATGCTGGAGGCTGGTATATGGATTGATGTCATTGTCACCGATGTCGTGATCGCGACCATGCAAGACGTTAGAGATGCTCCTGTCCAATCAGGTGTCGAGCTGACGACGGTGGCTGCCCTTTTGGGCCATGCTAGAGGATGATGCCATGCGCACTGAAATTGTACTGGTGCTTTCTCTCCACGCCCACTACGCCATACCAAGACTAAGGCGGGATGTGAAGTGGTATTGAACGCGTTTGGGGGTTTCGATCTGAATCCTTGGTGAGAATGCGGATGATAATCGCTGGCAGGCTACTCGATACTGGGGTCAAGAGGGTATTGTATCTTGTTCATTGGAAGGAATATATGTGTCGGTGCCGGACGGCCGTCAAACAAGCGATCCCGATTTCCTGGCTCTTGTTACGGTAGCTGTAGGTCGGTTACCATAGTGTAACACTGGCTTTGGTTGTGCATCGTCCCGTCGTCATCCTGATACTACCTTTTCCGCGGTGACCAACCAGTACTGAATTCACCTGGTCCTGATAAACGGTGTCTGCGTCAAGATTAACTTCCCGCGAGCCCCATTATCTTGACCACGATCCATCTATCATGGCAAGAAACCTAGATAACGGAGGTGTGCTCGACAAGGGAGATGAAGACAGAGTCAACCCAGCTGGGACGGCCAAATCAGAGGAGTCAGAAGTGGGCGTTGTCGATGGCGTGGACGAGAAATCACTGCTTCGCAAACTCGACAGAAATCTGCTTCCTGCGGTGGGCATTCTATACCTGCTATCCTTCCTGGACCGCAGCAATGGTGAGTTCCCGGGAGCCTGCTTGAGGGTGCCACTCTGCGCGCATAGCTAACCATTTCTCTAGTCGGTAACGCAAGAATAGAAGGGTTGGCTAAGGATCTGGGCATGAGTGAGTCGCCTTATTCAGTCCGCTGTTGATCCTGCGATGTTAACGATACCTCCAGCTGGCGATCAGTATCTCACTGGCCTCACCTTGTACTTCATCGGATATGTCATCTTTGAGGTTAGCCAGGGGC